TTTTGTATCTTTAACTGCTTTTTTTGCTTCTACAATTAATTTTTAGATGTCATGTTTTTAAGCAAAATTTTACTAAATTGGCAATAATCTGTCAGCGTCTCAAGTAATAAAAAAGACAATTTACCGTGCATATGCAGCGTTTCAAGCTGCATTCCACGAGCTAATGAAAAATGGGTAGTTCTATTTATGAAAAATACACTTTAACCTTGAGTCGCTTTATTTGAGACACTCTGTATGATATAAAATATTTTTAAAATGTGCGCACTTTGTGCGTAATTGACTCTCTCGCACTAAAAAACCACCCTGTATTTGAATACGGACTGTATTCCGTATTCAATTCCGAAAATTATCAATAGCTGCATTTCGGTCGTGCCTGCTGAGAACAACGAAAAACCTACAGATTTCTTAGATAAAATTCACAAACTAGAAAATAGAGCACAAAAGCAGTAATACATTTAGCTAATTGTAAACAATCGACTCACCAGAACATAAACGGCAAAGGGCATAACGACAACGGCAACCAGAAGATCCGCCAGAGCCAAACTGACAATGAAGTAGTTTGTGGCCGTTTGCAAGGTTCGTTCTCTGAAAACACTCAAGATAACCAGCACGTTTCCAAAGAGAGTCAGTATAGGCACAACTAGCAACACTAGTGCCCAGTAATTGCGATATGCATCGCCGATAGAGCCTGTTGAACAGGTCAAGTTCGTCCCGTTACCAAACAGAGAGCAGTTGAGCTGAGCCGGAACATACACCGGAAAGTCCAAGGAGTTGTTGGAGAGATTGATTTTGCTGATGTACTGGTCGATATCCTCAGTGAGAAGCATGTAGTGTTCTGGTTGCGAGTCATAATCGGAGAGGTTGCTCGAACTGTTGTACCAGAATCGGATGTCCGGACTCTCGGTGGAACCCATCGTGGCTGCTTGCACTCGCATCGTCCAACTAGAACCACTCGCAACCGAACCACATTCCCGCATCCATCCGTGGACGGAACATCCGGATCAGGTTGCGGATACGGTCTGGGTCCAGGAAATTCTCATGTTGCTTGACCACGTTCGCGACCGCGAATAGAGGGTTAAAGTGCGTCAGGGACGATGTCGGGCGCCGTTTTGAAGGGAGAAACGACGTCGGCGTCGAAAAAGACGCGCTCAGGCGCCGCCCTGTCTCCTGCACCGACCGACAGAGGCGTCTCGTTCTCAGCATCCCTCTGAGCACCGTTGTTCCAACGGAATCCAGTGCCGGAACTAATCGCATTGATTATCGAATTTGATCTCTTCAAAGCATCCGCTGTTGG